TGGTGATTTCTGTACTATTGTTGAAGGTTGTATTGGTACTGGAGATGACATTGCTACTGATTGAACTGCAGAAGGATTCGACGAAACAACAGATGTTGGAGCCATTGATGTCCAAATAGTTGGATGAAGAAGCGTTGCTGTTGTTGCATGTGGATGAAATAATGTACCGAATTGAGTCGTTGTCGTTGTACCTGTCGCTGGTTCAAATAATGAATTAAGACGAGATGAACCCAAAGTTAAATGATGAAATGATGGTTGACGACTTAATGATGATATATCAACATTATTACTTTCATCTTTTTTTTGTCGCCAAGCCATCGACGTCGTAATGATGGTACAAGAAATAAAATAATAAATAAAGTAAATGTAATTAAAAGAACAATACAAAATGCAGCTACAATTGTATTTGTTAATATAAGACTTTCAAATGTATGTTGATTAATCATATTAAAATAGATTAAAAGATAAAAGTATAATATATAGTTCTCGTAATGTTAAAGTGAAGTGTTGATCATCATACATTACATTACAATGTATACGTGTATTGTATCATTTTCTTCTTTCTTTCAAAAGATCATCAAAATGGTTATTCGAAGGATAGAATATATAAGATTAAGATAGCGACTTCTGTGACAATAAAAGTATACAAGACAGTAAAAGAATGTAATTTAAACAATGTTCAAAAAGGTCTAGCCGAACGTTAGTTTTAAAATGACAATATTCTTTAAACTGTAATTGAATAATAAATAAAAAATAATTAATTATCAAATATGAACAACATATCATAAAATTGTATTAACGATTTTTCTGAGATAAAAATAAGTATTATGAATTAAAATGAGTAATAATAATCATTAAGATGATGACAGCAAAGTGAATTTTGAAACACATTTTCACCATATTAATAAAGTTCTTTAATTATTGACTAGCAAAATGTATAGTTTGTTAAATGATCAACTTCTTCTCTGAATATATGTATGTGTATTATTTTATATGTTTTACTTTTACATTTTCATGTTTTTGTTACAACTTGAAAAATACTTGAATATTCGTTTTTTAAAATCAATCCGACAGATTCAAATAATCGTTTCATGTAAATATCATACAAATTTGTAATATATAAAAATATAATATTTATTTAAATATACATATACACAGTATTTATCCTATGAACTATTCGGATGTATCAATTTTTGATCTAATTTAATTGATCTATCGAAGATTCTATTAATTATAATTTCATTCACATTATTTTCAACATAGTACCGATGTGTGATGTTCAAAAAATTAAGATTAATTCGTATGTAATTATCATTATGATGAATATATACAAAAACGACAGATGATAAATTATCTTCATGAAAGATATCTCTCTATCAATATTTTGTAATAGAATATCACATATTTCAAAGATGAAAAATGAAACTAAATAGCATTAAATCATCATAATTGTTTTATTGAAATACACAGTATTAACGAGTAATTTGAGTATATATGTTTATTGGATCTGATAAAACTTCTTTAATTAATCTCAATTATATTTGTCAATCAGTTAATTGTACAATCATAGAAACTATTAATAAGTGTCAACTATCATAATATATTTATATTTATAAAAAAAAAACTTGATATTTGACTAATCATTAAAAAAGAGAATAGAAAAGCACCATTTTTATTGTTTATAACGATATTAACATAATCTTCTTTTTCTTCGGTATATTTATTCATATGTTAATTTCATAATATTTTATGGCATTTTCAAATAAAACTATTCATTTTTTTGTTTTCCATTAGTTAAAATACACTATTTCTTCTACTAAATTCATCTTTCTACTATCTTCATACTTGTGTAATTCTCTTTTCTTTCTTTTTTTTCATATTTTGATCTATCTCCAACTTATCTTTCACGAATCCTCTTCAATATGTAGCATCTCATCAAATTATATCATTCATTTCTTTTTACTTATATATCTCCGATTTCTATACATATAAAACAATATTTAATTAGATCTTGACAAAAACTATATTCATTACTTTAACAACATTTTCTTTCCATGTAAAACAATCAAAAGACAAATGTTAACAGTGAAACAATATCAGACCTTGTTTCTTTTATTATTAATAATTTATTACCATTTGATTTACTCAAAGTTAAAGTCATCAACATAGTTACAAGCATTTTAGTGAAATTATATTCACTAGATGGTTATTTATTGTTAGAAAAAAAATCGTTTCATCATTTTTTTGCCAACAATAATATACTTACAGAATGGCAAACAATATATTCTAATTTCAGTAGTATCTTATACTTTATGCACTTGTTTACCATTAATTTCATGTGTTTTTTTCAGACATTTGTGGATAGATTGAGAACTTTCATAAGTTACAAAGCGGAATGTTCTTGATCGACCTAAGAAATTACTTTTATCATAAATTTATTTATTAATCTAAACTAACCTGCTCGATCTTTTATAATAATAACGTCTTTAATGGAACCAAATTGTGCAAAATGTTCTCTCAGATCTTTTTCATCGATATTCAACAAACCTGTGCCAAATAATTTATTATTTGTTACAGGTTCTGAATTTTTTTTATGCAGATTTACGTGGTTTTTGCAAAGGGATAAGTGCTTTTGCTGTTTAATATTCTTCAGTCATGTTGAATAGGTTTATAACTTTATACAAGAATGACGAAAAACAAAGGTATTATATCAGATTCGTTTGTTATTCAAAAACTTTATTCAGAAGATCGAAATAAAATTAACATACACAACAATGTTCATAAAAAAAGATTAATATACGTTAATAATATAATTTATCAAAAGTAAAACAGAAAATACACACCATCGTTGGTGTTTTCATCATATCGATTTTAATTTATAAAAGTCGATCTGATAATTATTCAGTTGTACATACATCAATGATAGACTATCATTTAGAATCTCTGAATTAATACAAATATTCCAAAATATTGATTGAAATACAGTTTTTATGAGTTTCCATACATCAAATAATTACTATTATTAAAATAATCTTTTTTTACTTCCAGTGAAGGGCAACATTTCAATTACATTACAAAATGCTTTGTTGATGAACTTATTCTCTGAAAATAGAAAAAGTGTTTATTGTAACTATAGTTTCTTGTTTTTCTATTAGTTAGAAAAAAGAAAGGTGTCCTCGGAAATAGTACACTGAAATATTTTTTTTATTTTTGTTCAAAAAAAATGACTGGAAAACACGGTCGTCAACGCCAATCAGAAAAAGTTTTTTTGAAAAAAAATACTGAAACTATTTTTTTTCTACTTTTAAGAATTACTTTCTTTGTGATCTGGTATAAAATGAGTAGCTCTGTATATTGTTGACTGTCAGTTTGAAAGAATACATCCATTTCAGACAATAACATTTGAACACAATAATTATTTTAGAATCTATTATTTCTTTTCCAAAACTTCGATCTATAAAATGATGAAAGGTAACATTTTAGTATATAGATAACTTTATAAACTATTCTACATTTATCGTCTAGATATGATATATATTCTATTGATATAGTAATACAGTTTAGGTTTTGTTAAAAAATACTAAAACAATAGTCGCTACTTCTACATCTCAATATTCATCTCATTATAATTTATTCATTTTCTAGTTGCATATAGATATACATTTCAACACTCTTCTTAATTATCTATAAATGTGGATGAATGTGAACTTGATTCAATAAAATATAAATGTAATATTTTCATTCGTATTATCATATATTCACAGTAGTCCTTCAAACTATTCTAAAAATACTATCACATCAGTAATCATACATATATGCTTTACAGAGGGCTATAAGGTGTACTAATGATCTATTAAATATATATTCTTTGCTTTGCAAGTGTACAAAATCATTCTCTAAATCGAAAACATTAATTGTGGATTATGTTGCCACTTTCTGGATTTTTATTTGTATTATTAAGAATATGTATCTATCATTCTGCATCTAGCAACATAACGTATTTTATATAATACTATGATATCAATATTTACGTAATTTTAATTTTAGATTATTTATCACAGTTGCAACTTCTGATCCCCAAACAACAATACATACTCGTTTATAATTTCAAGTGCAACTGTCCACTACAGACCATCTTTCATTAATCATTGTCCATCATTGATCTATTCTCAAGATAGATAGTATGTAGTCTCTTTTGTTTTTGTTTCTTATATGAAGACGAGTACTTGCCTAACTCGACTTACAATATAAATTAAATGAAAACAAATTCATCTGCACACTTCAAACCAATAAAAATTATTTTATTCATTTATCATTTATATAAATGGGATAAACGGAGATTTTAGTTTAGTGTTAGGAAAAAAAAAAGAAAAGTTTTTCATTAATCCATTTATCACTTATATAGCATGATAAATGAAGACTCGAGAGCGTGGGTGAGGGTATAGGTGATAGACAGCAGATCATAGCCACTCACACCTTCAGATGACTTTTAAGCGCTAGATTCATTTATATTCCAAGCTCTAAATACATTTTCTCAATTACCTAATCAAACAATATCTAATCATTTTATTTAGCTTTATCCAAGTCAATGTGTTAGTGCATCTGCGACACCATTACAAGTACTTCAGTCACAAACTCAAGTATTTGTTTCACAATTTATATTATGAATGGCTAATGATTTTTTATTATCAATTTCAACAATAAGAAAAACAACTCAAAGTAATAGTTTACTTGCTGGACAACTCACTAACTATGACCTTATTAGACTAAATAATAACGATGTGGACACATATTCTTATTCATATAGTAATTTTAGTTGTGCATCTTCAGCAACATGTGCTAATGAACCTCCAGTTTATTCTTCCAAAAATAGCGGAGTACTATTTACTGTACCAGGCATATACATAGGATGTTATATAATTGAAGCATTACTTCAATCAAATCTTCAATACTTTTATAACAAAACTTGTATAAATAAAATGCAATTATATTTCACCAAATATTTATTAATGAATTTAACAACACTTGAGATTTCATTATTAGTTGAATTTCATATGAATTCTACAATACAACAACTTGTTGATAAGTTGATGGTTGAAGAATGGAATTCATCAACAATAAATGATGGTTATTATAATGAATGTCGATCATCAAAATATAGTTGCAGTTATCAAACAAAGAATGATGCAATCTATATAATAACAACAGTGGTTGAACTAGTAGGAGGATTGCTAACAGTATTGAAGCTGACCATACTACGACTAGTCAAAATGACGAGAAGAAAAAAGAATGTGAAACTCAATAAAAGCAAGAAATACCAATGGAAAAGCAAGCGAAAAGCTAAGCAGAATAAATATGAATATATACAAATATCTTTCTAGCAGATCGTATCAATCTACTTTCTCAAAACAAAGTCATGTGTATACTTTTAGTAGATCTATTAAAGGGTAAGATATCGATAGATTATGTACTTTTTGTATTCCAAGAATAAGAGCATTCTATGTCTTTCGTCATTTATGTGAGTGTTTATAGTCAATTGTAACGCTTATCAATGAATTAGTAACTACGATTGAGTGCCTGGTGATATAGCGTTACGTTTTACTGTACATTTTTGAACGTAATAAACATATATAAATTATACTATTTTTGTTTGATAACTGCAACTATATTTTGATGGTTGACATTAGTTATAATAAATTATAACGAATATTAACCATCAAAGTGTGGTTCCAGTTATCAAACAAAGAATGATGTAACCTATATAATAACGACAGGGATTGGACTAGTTGGAGGATTAATAACAATATTGAAATTGATCATACCACAAGCCGTTCAAATAGTTATTTTTCACATTCAAAGATGTCGATTGCAATGTACCACAATATCGCTATTTATTCAAGCATAGTTACGAGTTTATTGATAAGCATTACAATTTACCATACACACTCACATAGACGATGAAAGATATCGATTGCTCTTATTTTTGGAATACAAAACGTACATTGTTTACTGATATCATATTCTTTAACAGAACTATTAAAAGTATACACATGACTTTGTTTTGAGAAAATAGATTGATACAATCTGCCAGAAAGATATTTGTATATATTCATATTTATTCTGCTTAGCTTTTCGCTTGCTTTTTCATTGGTATTTCTTGCATTTATTTGATCTCGCACACCTATATATTTTAAACAAATAAAAGAAAAGATCATTCACAAATTTCATGTAATATACACGTACATATTTTGTACAGTAAATAACAGACTTAAGATAATCTTCGATATTAAATTTGTTTTTTACATTTTATTGAAATACCGGAAAATAAATTAAGTCACATTTGATCAGCCATTGAAGAGTAATAAATAAAATAATTTTCAAATCATTACTCAATCTAGTAAATATAAAGATATTTTTCTAAACAATATAGACATGCAGATTAATGTGAATGTGATTGAATATAGTTAGTTTAATATGTTTATCTACAGGAACCACATCTATAACTTAGAAACTATGAAGACGACAGACTAGAGTTTGAACTTGAAAAAGTTGAACATGATGAACTTTATTGAAAACTAGTTATTCAATAAAACAAAATACAAAATTCGAGTTTTAAATAAGATTTATCAACGGCATATTCATTAGATTACATACATGTTTACTGAACATATATGAACAATAAAAAAAAAATTTTCTTACTTAGGTCTTTTGAAATAAAAAAAGTAGAATCTTTTATGTATACTAATTGGAATAGATAATATATTCTAATACATACTCAATCAACATAAAAACTTAATTCAGATCTTTATTTACTTCATCTGTTTCTTTTCATAAATCATATCCATCAACACATAATAATTAAAAAAGTGTATACTTAATTTCCTCTATCAGATTCTCTTTTTCTTCTACATATTTAATAGACTTTTTCTTTCATTCTTTTCTCGCGACTTCAACTAAAGTCAATAGCATATAATAGACAGTATTTTATTCAATTATGAATTTTTTAACAACCTACGAAACACCTTTACGATCTTATATTCAATCTCGTATCAATGTTCTGGAAAATGCACTTCAAGAAGAAGTTAGAAATCGTGATAATGTCGATATTACACTTCTTGAACAACAATTTGATCGAGAATCAGAAAACTTTATTGCTGGTGTAACAAGACGAGTTCATCAAATTCGTGATGAAATCAAAACATATCGTCC